GCCCCGCCCCGCCCCGGTTGACAAACCGGCCATATGTGACCTTGTACCGGTATCTGATCGGATACCCTAACCTACTGCCTTTGCCTGACTTATGACAGGATTGGACCCATATCCATCAAGACACGATGGCCGAGTGGTTAAGGCGATTGACTAGAATTCACGTGATTTAGCGTGTACCCGAAATCAATTGGGATTTTCCCGCGCAGGTTCAAATCCTGCTCGTGTCGCTCGGTTTAGAACGTTCGGTGTTATTTTGGACGGTTTTTACATCAGTTATCTTATTTTTCTATGGCCCCGTTAGATGGCCGTCAATTTTTTAGAATTCCAGTTATAATGACAGTAGGACCCCCCCTCGTTTTACGGGGCACGGTAATAAAGTATTCCGGCGGTCATTTTTTGTTTACTTTTAAGTATCGGTTTTTGGATTTGATTTTCTTTGACGAGTCCAGATGTCGGTGTAATGTTTCGTCCATTAGAAGAGCCATGGAAATATCTTTTTGAGGTTGGGAACAAGTTGTGTATTGTCACGAAACTTAAGAATTATGGCTACGTTGTCTCGACATTTCTTTTACTGGGACACTGAAAAAATGAAAGTGTTGGTTTACAAGCTGTCTTAAGGAACGGGGTCTGTGAGTTTCCATTTTGCTTGTGCGTTGGCTGGGATTATTGGTGCCATTGTTAGTTCGGTCATGGATGGTTTTTGCTCGCTGGACGATTATTTATTTCGACGCAAGACTGTTTTTGTGGATTATTTGTTTTTCATCCGTCTTTGTGCAATTTGAATCAATAATTTTGTTAGCACCGTGGCCTAACGGCGTGTAGGTGGATGCCCAAACAGTGCTCTCCGTTGTGCCCGCCTTGACGACCCTTTGAACGCATTGATTGGTACACCGCAAAGACCTACTCTGACGTCCAAAACGTACTAAACGCTACAAAAATGGTTGCGAGAAATCGGGGTATCCAAACCCTCGCCAATAACGACCAAATCAATATTTCGGCGGATGCGTTTCCGGGTGGTCGGAGTGGGTAGTTGGTGGAGTACATAGTGCGCTTAAGCGGTATCCATTTAGTAGCACGTAAGAATAAAAGGCGGGAGGTTTTTGGTTTGGTGGTGCATTCACAAAGGATCGCTGTATTCTTGGGGGGATCCCAGTTTGGTGTACCAGGGGAATGAGGGAGCGGAGGGTGTTTTGCGAACATCGTTTATGTTACCGCTGATTGACGTTTCAATGCGCTGAAGCTCGCCAACCGTTTCTGAACAATCCTACCCCGTACAATTGTTGCCAACCTGCGGTGCCCCAAATGCAACGATGGAAACCTACAAAGCAACTAACCCATGCAACCGGTGTCAAGCTGCCAGCACCTTGGACAATGTTGTCCTTCCACATTTGGCTGCTTGATAACACCACGTCCCCGTAGTCAGTCGCGATGTTTTTTGACACGGTGCAAGATGGGCAAATTCCATGAACTGGTCTATTACAAATCATGCAAATGAAACGCAACGTAAGTGGCTCGCTTGGAGAACAGCTTTTTTAATCATGGTTAAAGCATTGTGCGAAACATTTCTCGCGATATCTCCATGATGCATGCATGGGGTGCGGCTCAATATTCATTGGCTCTCTTGTTTCTCGTCGTCCAATGCTGTGGTATCAGAAAGAATGCGGAAGTTGTATCCACCTATCGCCATTTTTCTCCTATCAAAAGGGGCATTCAGGGTTTCGCATGAACAGGTTTATGACGGGCAGTCAAGGCAAGCATTGTGAAGGATTAGGATACCATTGGAGTCCCTGGTGACGTGAGCAGGGGATGTCTGGATTATGGGGAATTATATGATGATAATGAGGGAATAACACGCCCTGATGATCGGTGCGCCACACTGGTCCTGTGTGACAAGCGGGGGAAATCCGGGACGGTGGAACCAGCAAACGGAAATCGAAGTTCTGTTTCATTCAAACCTTGCAAAGGCCCAGTTCTTATTGCAGAGGGCACTTGGCCACACGACACAACCCGCTCACACACACTCCCCCTCCACGAGAAGACGTCCGGACATAACCCGGGGGCTGCACCCTGCAAAATGTGAGTTCTTTCCTTCTCAAAACCCCAAAATCTTCAAATGTTGCAATTCTATCCCACCCTGCCACCCAAACCCCACAAATATTTCCCACGCTCGAGAACATCTCAAAATTGCTCGGCACAACCACCCCAATGTCCGAGGGGCGGACTTTTGTGTCGGCAAATATGAACCCTGAGCTACACGCATCGTGTTTTGGCTTGCAAATAGCGTGGGAAAAAATGCGCGCTATTCAATGCGTGTTCGTTCCTACCTGGGGAAAACCGGGGAAAGGGTTGTCAACGACGGACGGGGCCGCAACGTGGGGGAATACGTGAATACTCTCTGACTGGCCGCTAATATCTTGCAATCTCCTAAAGTCTATATCATTCAACCTGTACATATTTGAACCGCCGTGCAACTTATTTATAATCCACTCGGGTGAGTTAAACTCATTAAGAAAATTGAGTACCCTGGCCAAGCCGGGAAATATCTAATCGTCCTATTAAATTCTTTTTGCACAGATCACTGTTTTTTTTTACATTAGCTGCACTTTTCATAATAATAGGCCAATGCCGATGGAGGGGAACTATACCTTTTCGTACCAACCACAGACACCCCAACAGCAACAATCGCAGCAGCAACCGCATCAGCCGCATCAACCGCATCAACCTCAACAGCAAAATCTTACGGGCCAGTACAATGTCGCGTTCTACCAACATCCATACGGGACGCCGAATGCGGTTGGGATGGTGCCTAACTCGAACTTTTCAAACGTGTATACGAATAACATGACCAACTCTTTGCAAAATGCCATGTCATCGATCCGCAAACCCGCAAATGTTCCGGGCCAGCAAGGACCATCGACGATCAACCCGGCTGGAGTTGGACGACTTCCAGGTGGGGTGTACATGCCAAATGGCGGCAATGTCATGGGCGGGATGTTGGCCAATGTTGCGGGTGCCGTTGGTGGGGTGAACGGGTTGGCGGCTCCTTTTGCTCAGAGTCAGATGGGAGGTGCCTATGGAAGTGCCTTGGTGGGACCGGGTGGGCAACTCATGAATGGACCCGCACAGCACGGTTATGGAGCGTTGTCCGGCCTCGCTGTGGGAAGTCAAGCAACCGGCGTGGCGGCGCCTTCGCAGCAACGATATGGAACCATGGCAAACCAGGGCGGGTATGGGGTTCCTGGGTATCCGGTGCAAAATGCGGGGGCGACTCAGTCGCAGAGTTACCCGCAGCAGCAGCAATTGCAGCAACCAGGTGCCGCGCCTATAAAGCCTGCACCGTCTTCGCTTCCAACCTCGTCTGGAACGTCCGATTACGCTGCTCCCGGGTGGTATGGATTGGTGGTAAACAACAACACCAACACCAACTATCCGAATTGGGTCGGTTCAACATCAACGGCAGGAGCAGGCACTGGTAACTTGGCGACGTCTTCGGTGCTCACAACACAAACAACGGCTGGACCGGCTGTTACCACCAGTGCATATTTGCACCATGTGCCAAATGCTGTTAATGCGTCAATGGCAGCTCCCGCGACACAACCAACCGGCTTGGTTTCGCAGACTATCCAACAAAAAGTTAATCCACAAATTGGCCAACGTCCACTACCGCATCACGGTTCGCAACCTCCAGTCGCTGCGGCCGAACCCGTCACCGATCCTACTGCAGGCAAATCTCCCAGACCGCGCCCAAATACCATTAACCCTGCTCAGCATACCTCTCGACAACATCCATCGAAACCAAACCCACCTGTGCCTCCACAAAATCAGTTGACACCTGAAGCTGCGGCTTTCCAACGACAACAACAGCAGCAACTGCAAACGCGTTACTTTCAGTTGGCGCAAGCGCGTCAATCCGCCCAGGCTTCATCTGCACAATCGGTTGCTGCTCAGCTCCAACAACAACAGCAGGCCAACCAGTTGCTGCAAAAGTCGAATCAGCTCCAAGCCTTTTTGCATAGGCAAACAGAGGTAAATAAGCACATCGACGAACAACGGAATGCTTCACAGCAGCGGGAGAACCAACATCAACAATCACAGCAACCACTACAGCAACAGCAGCAACCGCAATCACAACCGCCGCAACAACAGCAGCAGCAGCAGCAACAACCACCACAGCAATTGCAGCAACAGCAACAGCAGCAGCAGCAAACACCACAGCAACCGCAACAGCAGCAACAACACGAGCAACACTCCCGGCAACCAGATGACCAGACACAACGACAATCGACAGAGTTTCGGGCTCCTGCTCCGCAAACGCCCAATCGACAAACGCATCAGCACGGTGTTTACCAGCAACCGCACCCACCCCAGCCCATCCAGCAGCAGCAGGCGCAACAAAGCGAACCGACAACGCTTGCTTCACATGCGACGCAACCGCTGGCGGGTGGTGGTGAACCACGTCGTCAGTCCACTCCCGTTATGGCTTCTCCGCGAATGACGACTCAACAATCACCCCGTATGCCACAAGCGCAATGGGCGCCGGCCGCAAGTCAACAGCCCACAGTATCGTCTGCATATAGTCCAATTCCGGGGCCTTCACATCAGATGCCTGGGATGGGTGGAGCCGGTCCCAGTTTTCCCCAGTATTCTGCACAAACGGTGAATGCAGCGATACAAGCGTCGCATATGTATCCTCCAAATGCGGGTTTAAATGTTCAACTGCCGGACGCGCGTCGACAGCAACTGCAACTTCAACAACATCAGCAGCAGGCGCAGTTGCAACACCAGCAACGACAGCAACAGCAACAACAACAACATCAACAACAACAAATGCTTCAACAGCTACATGCGCAGGGCCAAAAAATGCTTGGTCACCCTCAACCTGGCCCAGACGCGCAAAGACCGCAAATACCCCGTAGTCCTGTCGTACCCACCGCTCGCCATGGCATGAACGCGAGCACCAAGGCTACTACCGCGCCCCAAACCCCACCCGTTCCTAGACTGGAACGAAATGTCTGGACTGAGCATTTCCACAATTTTATGGCAAAAGTGAAGGGAATGCCTCAATTCAAATCTCCCAACGTGTCGGGCAAACCGTTGGATTTTTACACGTTCTTTTGGAGCGTTATTGAAATGGGGGGGTTCGATAAGGTAACGAAGGAAGCGTTAGTTTATTGGGAGGTCACTTTCTGTTAACCGTATGTCGTGACAGGTTTCTAAAGAAAAGGCT